GTTTGTGATATCTGTATGTGGATGGTGAGTGAGAGCTTCTTAATGTTGGGGGAGAGGGTGTGCTCCTTTAAATCTGATGAAAGTTATTGATTCCTACCTCCCAGAGAAAAAGGCACTTATGTAATAGCCGCAAATCCCACAATTTCAGAGGGTTTCCGGCCCTGGGACTCCAGGGTAAGGTCTCCTGGTTGGATGGACCAAGGAAGCGGGTATCTGGAAAGTGCAGAGACCGAGTATGGTCCTTTAATGTTCGCCAGGTCAGCCTTCACCTTTAAAAGCACTCCCCTCCCCACCACTACCTGTGGGGGCTGGCTTCCCTGTGGGGGTCCGTCTTCCCTCCCTTCCTAGCACAAGGGGGCTCCAGCAAGAGGGGAAAGCTTTGCTGGGGAAACTGGTTTGGGGAGGAGACCCTCTGCCGGAGGGAAGCTGGGCTTGGGCAGCCCCCTAGGGAGTAAAGCAAACACTGACACTCCCGGTAAGGGGAAGGTTATGGAGAGACAACCCCCTAGATAATTTTGTCTGTGAGTCAACTAAGGGGACCAGGCAATAGAATGTTCTAATCTACCTGTTTGGTTTCCTCAGAGACTCTGGCTTAGCCAAGGTCAGAGGCTGGGGGACACCAAACTGGGCTGAAAGGGAAAAGATTTGTTCCCAAACAGTCGTGTAACTGGTTTGTAGGAGCCAAACAGGTGGCCCCTGGCAAACCAGAGCCAAGGGGTAGAGGTTGAGTGGGAGTTGGAGTGGGAGTGGGAGTGGGAGTGGGAGTGGGGGTGGGAGTGGGGGGTGGGAGTGGGGTGGGAGTGAGGGGTGGGAGTGGGGTGGGAGTGGGAGTGGGGGGTGGGAGTGGGGGGTGGGAGTGGGAGTGGGGGTGGGAGTGGGGGGTGGGAGTGAGGGGTGGGAGTGGGGTGGGAGTGGGGGTGGGAGTGGGGGTGGGAGTGGGGGGTGGGAGTGGGGTGGGAGTGGGGGGTGGGAGTGAGGGGTGGGAGTGGGGTGGGAGTGGGGTGGGAGTGGGAGTGGGGTGGGAGGGGGGGTGGGAGTGGGATGGGAATGGGGGTGGGAATGGGGGTGGGAGTGGGATGGGAATGGGGGTGGGAATGGGGGTGGGAGTGGGGGGGGGAGTGGGGGTGGGAGTGGGGAGTGGGAGTGGGGGTGGGTGTGGGGAGTGGGAGTGGGGGTGGGAGTGGGGAGTGGGAGTGGGGAGTGGGAGTGGGGGTGGGAGTGGGGGGAGGGAGTGAGGGTGGAAGTGGGAATGGGAGTGGGGGTGGGAGTGGGAGTGGGAGTGGGGGTGGGAGTGAGGGTGGGAGTGGGAGTGGGGGTGGGAGTGGGGGGTGGGAGTGGGATGGGAATGGGGGTGGGAGTGGGGTGGGAATGGGAGTGGGAATGGGGGTGGGAGTGGGATGGGAATGGGAGTGGGGGTGGGAGTGGGGAGTGGGAGTGGGGGTGGGAGTGGGAGTGGGAGTGGGGGGTGGGAGTGGGGGTGGGAGTGGGAGTGGGATGGGAATGGGAGTGGGGTGGGAGTTGGGTGGGAATGGGAGTGGGATGGGAATGGGAGTGGGAGTGGGGTGGGAGTGGGGTGGGAATGGGAGTGGGGGTGGGAGTGGGGGTGGGAGTGGGGGTGGGAGTGGGGTGGGAGTGGGGAGTGGGGGTGGGAGTGGGGGGTGGGAGTGGGGGTGGGAGTGGGGTGGGAGTGGGGGGTGGGAGTGAGAGTGGGATGGGAGTGAGGTAGGAGTGGGAGTGGGGTGGGAGGTTCAGGAACCTCCTCCTCTCCCCCAGCCACTGTGTTTGGCTCTTCCTCCGCAGCCAGTGCCAGTAAAAGCTCCTGACCTCCTGCCCACGGTCCTGTGAACTGACCACGCTGGGTTTTTCAGAAGAAAAGTCAGGCTTCCTTGGGGTCTAGGATATGAATAAATGTCCTTGGTTGAGGACAATATTCAGACAAATGAAGGGAACTGGAAATTATCCGGCTTATTGTATCCTCCCCCTACACACATACACATTCCAACCCCAGCCCCGCCTGGCTGGTCCCCAATTGCCTACACATCTCAGGCAAATGCGGCTGGGGCAGGACAGACCCGCACCCAGTCCTGCCTGCCCCTCTCTGAGCTGGGACACCGCCTACCAGCCCAGTAGTTCTGGGCTGAAACAAGAAGCCAATGGTTGGTTGGCTAATAGTATTCAGAATCCTGCCTGAAAAGAAAGGAAGGAAGAAAGAAAGAAAAGGAAAAAACAACAACAACAACACGGTTTTCTGCTTGGGACAACTTAAACTGAATCATTCTGGCTGCGAACACCTTGCCTAAATGCTTTTAATCAGAGCAGAAGAACTATGTCTATTCATTCCCTGCTTTCCTAATTAAAAAAGTTAATTGCTGTTCTCAGGAACCTCCCACCGAGGGTCAGGAGCCTCTAGACAGTTCTTTGCCCCGCCCCCCGCAAGGCCATCCCCACCGTGGAGTTGGCCTCTTCCTGACAGACAGTGGGAGGGGGGCCCTCACACCCTCCGCTCCACCCCTGCACCAGGACTTTGGCCCTGAGAAGGCAGTTCTAGCCCAGCAGGGTCGCCCCCTCCCAGGGTTCCTGGACTCCTTTGGGGAGCAGACGCCTCTCCCTGGGTGCAAGTCAGCGCTCTGAGCCCTGGTGGAGTGCAGCTCCGCCTGGAGCCCTGGAGCTTAGCCCGCTGCTGGGCACACAGTAGGCACTCTGGAAATGTTGAATGTGGGGTGACAGTTCCCACCAGGCAAAGGTCAAAACCTTGTTGGGGGGCGGGGGTGTCTCTGAGGCTGGTGCACGGACTGCTCCGAGGCCTCCTGACTGGCCAGGAAATGATCAAGACCTCCATATTTTAATCCCAGCGTCCTGGGCCCCCTGCTGCTTTTCTGCTCATTCTCTAAGGCGGGATCCTGCCACTCTGGCAAACGGAAAAGGCTCATTGAGAATCTCCATGAGAATATGCTGCCACTCCCCAGACCTTTCCCCCACCAGATCCAGATATTTCAGGCTAAAGGGAGTTTGAACCTGAAATGAGCCAGATAATTGCCCCAATTCTCTGTTCCTCATTGAAGAGGGAGTTACAGGCCAAGGGGTTCAAGTGGCCTCACTTTTATGGACATTTGCTCTGAGTCAAAAGAACTCATTATGCATATACAGGCCGAGAGGCACACACTCTGATCCAGACTGGTTCTCGGGGAACAAAGCAGGCTTCTTCCTCTCCCCTTCTGCCCCCTCCTCCACCGCTTTCTCTCTCTTCCTCCCTCTCCCTCCCCGCCTCCCCCTTCTCGTTATTAATAGTTACTATTTACTAAATGCTCCCTGTTCACCTGGCATTGTGCTAAACCCTTGACACACTGTACATTAATTCATCCTTACAAGGATCCTAGGATAGCCAGATTTTGCAGATGCAGAAGCTAACTTGTTTTTTCAGGCATGAAGCGTGTGTGTGTGTGTGTGTGTGTGTGTGTGTGTGTGATAATGTTGCTGTGATCCTGGCAGATTTGAATGCTCAAGAGGTATAACACGGGCTGGAATGGGAATAAAATTGACAATGAGAAGCTCTTCAAGTTTTTTGAAATATGGAATGTTTTAATAGAATCCAGATAGTTTCTCCTGTCTTAAAGGGAACAAAGAAGAGACACAATTAGCTGGCTCATTCTGAGCCCCAAATGCTTTCCCTGGAAATGGGCGGATAATGAGGCTGACAGAACGTTCCCATTTGAATTTGCCTGATGTTCCATGTTTCCCTCCTAACTTGTGAGGCGTACAGCCTCACACACACACAGCCACCCACACGGGAATGCTGACGCACACAGACCTAGCTCTATCCCGCCTCCAGTCTTTTATGACTCAGCCCTGGGAATGAAAATAGGGTTTGGGCAGAATAGCATGCCCAAGGCTCCGGATGTGCACTTGCAATTAGACACCTCACTGGGGACAGCCCCTGCCAGGCTGGGAAGGTCATCTCTCCAAGGCCCCAGCCCTGGGCAGGCCCCGCACCCTCGCTACCACAGCAGGCAAGTGCCCTTTGCTGGCCCTCTATCCCTTTCCTTCCCTTCTTTCCCTTCAGATATTCTCTCTGGGACAACTGTCCAGAGAATCACTTGGGAGAAACGTCTGGAAGAGGGCTGTGAGGTATAAAAAGGCATCTCTGCCTTAGGGGAAGGGAGAGAGGACCCCCATTTTTCCTATCCCACTCTTCTCAGATTCTGGATGTTTCTGAGCTCAGAGTCAGAGGGCTGAATGCAGAACAAGGCTTCTTTTCCCCTACCCCACCCCATAACTCAGTCTCCATCGGAGTCAAGGTAGTGACCCCACTGTCTGCCCTAAATGACCTTCTCTTTGTGGTTTATGGGATGGTCATGTTTTCAGCACCTTCTCTTAGTCACCAGAGCCTCTCCTATAAAGCTTTCAACCCTCACAACAACCCCTTTTGAGGTCTTTTTCATCTGGGCCTTGGAGGGCCTCAGGCACTGGCCCGCAATCCCACACAGACAGGGAGGCTGTAAGCTGGCCCTGTCCCGGAAGGGAGGGGACCGTGCTTGTCTTGGCTCTCAATCCTAGCTGAGCTGGGCTTCCAATTCCCATAGATGCTCCCCCAAATCCCTGACCCAGAAACCCCTTAACTTCCAACACAGACAACCCACAGAGGCTGCCTTTCTGGAAATTCGCTTACAAAAAAGACATTGTCGCCAAGGTCCTCAGAGTTTGGGGGTTAGAACATTCCATCGGAGGAGAGGACGCATCCTCCAGTTCTGCTTCTCCACTTGTAATAGCTGCTCTAATCTTGGCCAACCACTTCATTTCTGGGGCCTCCGTGCTTTCTTTTGTAGGTTAGGGGAGGGGGATGTTGAAGATTCTGGCGCTGCCCTTGAGCTGGCTCCTGGGGGATCAAAGGAGATTTGGTCTGTGGAAGGCTCCCTAGAGGATGGGGATGAGGGGGAGGGAGAGGATGGAGTGATTCCGTTCCCAGCCTTCACCCGTTTAATGGTGTTTCTTTCGCTTGGCAGAGGTCGCCAAAGGCACCATACCAGCGGCCAGCTCCAGGCCAAGCCCAGCGAGTCTGCAGGAGCCAGACCCTTCACCCTTCACCTGGCTTGGGACGCGGAGCTGCGGGAAGATGTTTCTATAATATTGTAGTTCAGCGTAGATGCAACGCCAGGGCGCCGCCTAGAGGTCAGCCGCGGCCTCTGCGACACCAGCCCACGACCATGGAGCTGCTCCAGCCTCGGTCAGAAATTGGGGGGAGAAGAGGGGGAATCCAGCTCCTGGAGTCTCAGGGATGTGGCTTGTGGCACTTCTGACTTCTCTGAGACGCCTCCCAGCCCCCACCAGCGAACCCTAAGCAGGGATCAGGAAGGCCCAGAGATATTTATTCTTGTGACTCTCACTAAATGGAAGGGCGTGCCACTGTCCGTTTCTTTGAGGATCCCGTGTTTTGCACTCTGTGTCTATATTGCCTCCTCTCGCCATCCGAATTGCCCAGCCCCCTCCAGGTATGCCGAACTCTGCTTTATCTTCGGGGGGGGGGGGGGCGCTGGGAACCCGCACCCCTAAACCTGACAGCGTGGTTATCTCCAGTTTCAACTCTCTGAATAATGTGAAGATCGACGTGCTTTTGGAAAAGCGGTCAGAAAGCTTTTGAGGGTGAAAACACACACCGTCATCTAACTGGCCTTTACTCGCTGAATGGCCAGCTCAACTAGTGAATGAACGAGAGTCTGGAGGGGGCTGTGAGCACCAGCGCCCCTGTCGGTGGCCTCTGTGCTGGTCACTTGAAAGTTGACTCCTTTGGAATGAGAAGGAATGGGTCTGAGCTGTTGTTCCCCACGACAAGCAGAGCGTTTCCTTTTTAAAGCTGGGACCCATGGCCTGCGTCCTGAGAATGGGGGGGTGAGGGGAAGCCACAGAGCCCCTGAAAAGTGTATGCAAAACTCACATGTCATTCTGGAGTCCAGGACTAAAATAGTCCAACCCCCTCTCCTTAGCCCAGGGAGCCTCTGACCTCCTCCCCACCACCCCCATCACCACACTCATTACCCAGGCCCTGACCCACCTCAGAGGCCTGCAGGGTAACAGTCTTGAATGGTGTGGAAACTGCTGGTCCCTCCATTCTGCCCTCTGCCCATCACTAACAGTTCCCAGAGGCAAAGCCTGAGAGGAGGGGTGGCTGCCAGGAGCTGCCGTCACAGTCTTTTTAATAAAAATATAGCATGATAAAGTGCAAAGTGAGGGAGCTCGGGCAAGTGATGAGGAGGGGAGCTGGAGGGGCCTCCCCACGCATATCCTAGAATATGAATGTTGGGATGGAAACAAGCTACTTGTCCTTCAGCTTTAATTAGTTCCCCTCTTCCTCCTTCTTGGAGCAAGGAAGGGGCCAGTGGCCCCCTGACCCCTTTCGGCAGAGTGCGACTGTCTGCATCAGGTGAGCCTTTCAGAAAATCCAGGAACTGTAGACCGCAGCCTGGCATTTTTCTGCCCGGTCCACTTCTTAACCATCGAGAAAGAAATCCCCAGCTGTTCTTGGGCACCTGTTTGGGGTGTGTGTGTGTGTGTGTGTGTGTGCTTTAAGGATAGGGCATGGAAGGCCACATCTGTGGGGTGGGGGTGGGGGGACTGGTGCCTTCTAGGCACCAAATCCTCACCTGAGTCTGCAGCTGGGTCCCACCCTTGTACCCAAGCCCAACCCGAGCCTGAGCTCATCTCCGCTCTCCAGCGCCTCTCAGACCTGCCCCATCGGTGTTTGGCGGATGAATGATTGTGAGGTGTGCTCAGATTCCGTCGCTCTGCCGCCCAGAAGCGCCCCCAACCAGGCCCCTCACCTCAGCAGACCAGTGAGCAGAAAGCCAGTAACTTCGCTCCCAGTTATCTGGAACCCGAGGCGCACGGGCTTTTTCCTAGTTGTGATCTATGACGGCCTAATAGCGCTTCCAAACGCAGATCCCACAGAGTTGTATAAAAACCAAACCCAAGTAGAAAAGAACCATGCGCTCTGGAGAGGGTCCCGGCATCCAGGTAGCGGCTGCTTTTGTTGGACGTTGAGGCTTTTTAGGAGCCGCGGAGCTCGGCGCCGGCTGGTTTGGACACTCCTCAGCGCGGCGGGCACCCGCTTCCCCAAGACCCCGACCCTCGGGGTTCCGCTAGCAGCCCCTGCTCTTGGCCCCGACCCCTCTCCTCTCGTCTTCTCGCACGTTCCTGGCAACCTGTTGGCGGGCGGAGCGGGACCAAGGTCTGGCAGCTGGAGACGGAAAGAGAAAAACAAAAAAACCCGCTTCCAGCGGACAGATGCAAAGAACGGAGTTCCAGGGCGTGGCGGGCAGAGCCGGGCTTGAGTCTAGAAGGGCCGGCAGCCTAGTTTAGTGAAGATCCGGGGTCCCCTTCGGGCCGGTGAGCCCCAGCAATAGCGTGTGGGGGGCCCGGGACTGTGGTGCAGGCGGTGCGTCCCGTCTGGGCCTCGGCCTCGGCCGCCTGGGCCCCGCGCCCCGCGCCCCGTGCCGCGGGCGGGGAAGGGCCGGCGCGGCGGCTCCTGGGGCGCAGGGCGCTCCTGGCAAAGCCCGGGCCGGGCTGCCTCTCCGGACGCACAGTCTGCTGCCGCGGGGAGGAAGAGGGGGGCACCCAGGCGGGGGATTTTGCGGCTCGTAAATTTGTTTCCCCTGCCCCCTCACCCGCCCCCGGCCGTCTGTCTTTTCAGGACGCGAGGGGATGTAAACCGTTTGAAGTTCATCCACACGGTGAAGTTTTATTGTATTTCCGGTCCCCAAGATTTACACCCGGGAGGGGGAGCGGGCGGCCGGGCGGACGGCCTCGCTCCCTAGGACTTCCCCGCCGGACACGTGGCCGCGGACACTCACCTCCCGGGCGCGGGCGGGAGGGAGCGGGCGGGACAGGACGCCGTCGCTTCCCGCCGCCGCCGGGGTCCGCGCCTCCGCCTCCTCCTCCTCCTCCTCCTCCTCTTCCTCCTCCTCCTCCTCGTTCTCCTCCTCCTCCTCCTCGTTCTCCTCCTCCTTCTCTTCCTCGTCCTCCTCCTCCGCCGCCGCCGCCCAGGTAAGTCCGACGCCGCGGGTGGGAGAGTTCGCGGGGCGCCTGTGAGGACGCGGGTGTCCGCAGAGGCGGAGGTGGCGGTGGCGGGCGTCGGTGGGGGCCTGGAAGCCAAGGGCCCAGGCCGAAGGTCGGGAAGAAAGAACCACATCTGTGGTTCACGCAGCGGTTCCCCTGGTGAATTCGGAGAAGATGGTCTTACCTGGGACGGCTCCGCCTCTGCGGGGCCGGCGCCCCGGACCTTCCCAGCGGCGGGACTTCCCAGCGGCGGGACTGTTCAGGTCAGCAGCCGGCCTCCCCTTCCAGCCGGTTCTTCTGTTTGCTCCCTAGTCCTCCTGATCCCTTTCTCGCCCGCCGGCATTTCTCCGCACTCCTCTCCGCTCTCCCGCCTGCATTCCAGCCTTGAAACTGGAGTTTGGACTGGGCTTTGGTGTCCAGCTGGAAGATTTGGCTTCTCAGAGCTACCCTGGGCGACCCTGGACTACAGCCTAGCCTTGATAACAGTTGGAAGTTGAGAAATCTTTTTATCTGTGGAGATTATCCGCCAGCTGCGTACTCAGAGGCTGGTAAACCAAGCAGGAGTATCAGCCCACCCAGGAGGCCCTGCCCAGGTCTGGGGTTGGGTCCAGGCCCCTCCGGCCAGGCCTCCTAAAAGACAGCAAAAGTTCCCAGAATCTGAGCTGCCAGGACCAGCGAGCTCCAGAAGGGTTTTGCCTGGAGTCCGGCCTCTGGTTCTTTGGATTTGTTGTTTAATGGCAACTGTGTTTGGTGAGGGAAGAGGTGGAGGGAACTGAATGAAGTTAGCCGGCCAGCCGCTTTGGCCCACAAAATGGCTGCAGGCCCTGCCCCCAGTGAGCCCTTGACCCGCGGAGCCTGACCTGGAGCTGCTGAGTGAATTAGGTAGTTTCATGTTGTTGGGCCTGGATTTCTGAACACAAGGACATCAAACCACCCGACTCACGGCAGTTACTGCTCCTCGCTTAGCTGGAGGAGTAGGGGCGGCAGTTACTGCTCCTCGCTTAGCTGGAGGAGTAGGGGCGTGGGGAGGGAGGCAGAGACAGGCTGTGCCCAACAGTGGAGCGAGCGGTCTGAGGCCCCTGGACCAGGAGCAGCCAGGATGTCCGGGGAGAAGAGATCTCCGGAGTTCTAGCGTGCCCCCACCCCCATGTCTGCGTTTTAAAAATGTGTATTGGGAGGGCGGGGAGGAGTGGGGAGCACTCCAATCTCCAAAGCCCAACGGGGTGGTAGTTGGGGCTTTGAGCTTCCTTCCTTGGGGTCATGGGCTCCTGTCTGCCTTCAGATTTTCCAATAAAAGTTTCCCCAACTTGGCAAATGCTAGCTTTCAAGAGACACAGGGAGTCATGGAAGTCTTGGTAACCCCTTGAGGGGGAGGGCTCAGTATAGCCCATCCCTAATGGGAAACATCAGGATCCTTTGCAATCTCGGCCTCTGGGCCTCTGGGCATCCAGACTCTTTCCTAGAGCCCCCTAGTGGGACAGCGGTGGGTTAAAAAAAAAAAAATCTTCGCTCAATCCCACAGTTGGCTCCTGCCCTGCAGAGAGGCCAAGGCTTCCTCATAGACCCTTGGTCTGGGCTGCAGGTTTACCTCGGTCTTGAGGGCCAACTCCTGGGACAGGGGTCTGACTTGTAGGCTAGCGGGGAGCTCAGTCTTGGGCAGTTCATTCAGACGGATGGGGTGACTGGTGAGGGAGCAGGGGGTGGGGCAGGGGCAAAGCTGTGATACCCTCTTTGACCCCAGCCCCCTCCAGGCTCCTGGCGCTCTGCCCAGGGAAGGAATAAGTAGAAGCACTGGCGGAAGGCAGGCGTGGGACAGTCCAAAGCATAGGCTAACTTTTGTTCCCAAACTCCCGCCCCCCTGCTTGAGGCAGAGGAAATGTAGAAGGGGGCCCAACCGGATGGGGCTCCGTGGCGCCAGGCTGACTTGGATGGCAAAGGAGGGGGTCTCTGAACAACAGGCCTCTGCTAGGGTGGAGGGGCCCCCTCAGGAGACCGCCCCCCCCCACCCAGAGGCCATGCAACCTTCAACGCTGTCCTGGGGAGCGAGGCCAACTGCTGCCCCCTGACACTTCCTCGTCCTCAGTCTGGGTGAAGGCGGTCTGGAGCGCCCTGCTGCCTTACCTTGCTTCTCCCTGGGGCCCTCACAGCCCTGCCCCACCACTCGGAGCCTCACTGTCTTCCATCCCCGGTGTCCCCTGGCCACCCCCTCCCAGGAACAGTGCTGTAAAAAGAAAAAAAAGGGGGATGTTAGAGAGAAAGGAGGAAATAAAGTCTTTGGAAAGCAGAGAGTTTTACAACAGCCACAGGTTTTATGGAAGCAATTTCGTAATAACCTTCTACCTGCTCAGCTCCTTTCTGTCCCGCCTGCTGCCCACCCCGTTTGGCCTCCTGGATGCTCCCTCCCAAAGAGTCAGCCCCCACCACCACCTTCCAGATCCCTGATGGCTGCGAGCTGGTAAGGGGAGATTCCAGAGACCTGCCTGGGCCGCTGACCTCCCAGGCCTTCCTCTCACCTCTGACGCTTGGGGAGGGAGGCGGAGCAGAAGATTTCGTTGCTTTTCAATGAAAATCCCCACTCGAAGGGTGGAAGCGGAAGCACCGAGGTTTGAACTCCTGTGCAGAGTCGATGTGACCCATTTTGGAGGCCTGTTTTGTGTAAAGGGTGAGGGTTCTGGGGTCCTTGGTTTCTCCCCCCTCCCCTGGAGCCAAGTGTCTCCACATCTCCTTTCCCAGAGGGGGCCTGGACTCTGATTGCGGGTCAGAAGAAAGATCTCAGGGTGCCCGGGGACAGAGACTCAGGGACTTTGCTGATTTCGTTGTACACAGCAGTGCTTTTTTTTGGTGTGACCTCCACAGCTACCCGAGAGCTTTCACATTAAACTCAGCTCTACCTGCCGGTCCAGTGCACCCTCGGGTGGCACATACTCATGCACGACTAATAGTGTCTTCATCTGGCGCCCATCACCACCATGAAATAAGGATCACGAGATGCACACTGCCCCCGCAGCTCTGGGAAAGATACGCAGTAAAGGATTTCATGGTCGGACAAAAAAGTCACAAAATTCCATGACCTCCCTGAACCAGTTTGAGGCATTTCCTTCACCTTCCAGAGAAATATTTTAGGAGGAGGTTGTAAAAAGAATCCAGATGTAAGTCACATGCATTTGTTGGAGAATACGGACCGTAGATATTTTGCCTGAATATCAAGTCAACAGGCAGATTTTCAATGGAAGCTTCCGAATCAACTGAGGTTTTATAGCTACAATTCAAGGGCACAAATACTTCAGTTTTTGCCCTTTTCATAGGGGTGTGATGGTTATAAAAACGGACACAAAAGCTTTCGGATCATAGATCTTATATGAGTGGAGCTGTAAATCGACATCACAGGCATTATTCACACATCCACATACATACCACTAGACCTTACATACAAATGCTTACGCAATCCAGTATTATGGTTGGGCAGATTTACTCATCTATATTATATACATTAACCCTATTTATTCTATGTGCAGCGTAGAGTACAGTATATTCGCACACTAGGTTCGATATTGATTTGAAATATACAAACAGGATCTACACATCTATTCAAACACAGCATGCATAAATTTCAGCTTAGCTTATCGATTAAAAACAACCTTTCCCCCTTTATTATTTTGGCTTTTACTTCTTCTTTTGTTTGTTTTGGTTTATCTCCCCTCTGTTTAAAATTTTCTCTTACTGATAAGGACCCTTCTAAAAGCCACCCCTCAAGCCAGGCACTCACCAGCTGGTCCAGGCCCGGCGTGGCCTCTTCGCCTCCCACCTCCGCCTCCCTCATCTGCGCTCAGGGCCCCAGCATGACCGGGGCTGCAGCCGTCTGCCTGCTCTTCCCGCCTGCTCTTCCCCCAGCCACCAGCCCCAGCCCAGCTGTGCTCAGGCGCTCCTCTCCTGTGCGGGGAATGGCGAGAGGCTCCGAGGGCAAGCGGCAAGCGGGTTTCCCTTCTTCCTCTTTGGGACTGGGGGTGGGGCGGGGCGGGGTGGGGTACAGTTTGCTCTCTCAGGACAAGGTGACCCTCACTCAGGGAATCCCTTTAGGAGGCACCTTTAGAAACTGGGCATCACCGGCTGAAATCCTGTTCGCCTCCCTCGGTCAGGGGAGGTAGCATTGTCTGGGTGAGAAAAGAAGGGTTTTGTGGTTTTGTTTGTTTGTTTGTTTGTTTGTTTGTTTTTGGAAGGGGAAAGGCCTTCAGAACCCCCAAACAAGGGACTCCCTCTCAGCCAACCCTTTGGTCATTTGTCTGAACTGGAGTTGAGTTTCAATTTGGAGCAACAGTGTTTTCTAGAAAGCCTACCTGGGTGGGGCTCAGTGCTTGGTTGCACCTGAAGGGAGCTGAGCTGAGGGGCTAGTCCCTGCTTTGCCTTTCCGAGCCCCTTTTCTGAGGTGACCGAGACCCTCAAAGCCTGTCATTTTGACATCGTCCCCATTTTCCAGCTTCCTTGTGAGCTCAGGCTAACTTCTGGTGGCGGGAAAGAGCCTGGGTCCCCTCCTAAATCAGAACCCAGGAACCACCCAGGGTGAGGGGCATCTCCCCTGCCGGGACACTGCACCCCAGTAGGGCACACCCCACGAACCCCAACACTCTTCCTCTAACTTCTCCCCTAAACAAGTGGCCCTCCTGACTTCTCTCTTGCCAAGGACAAACCCGGAGTGGGCAATGGCAACCAGACGGGCTGTGGGCAGAGTTCAGAGCCTGCACAGCCTGGGTCTTAAGAACAGCCCAGAGCTGTGACTTTTCCACAAACAAATAAAAAAGTCTCTGCCCACAGACCCACGTCCTTTTGGACCCTGGTCTGTAGGCCACAGAGAGC